TCCTTTCACGGCTTATTTATCTCTAAAAGTTGTTCTTGTTCTCCATTTTTATAATAAATTCCTGTTTTGCCTCCTGGATCGATACTTAAAATGCTATTCATTATTTTAACTGTGCTAAAAATCAATCTCTACTTCTAAAATCCCGAAATTTCAACATCCCTTCTTTTAACATATTTACTCACTTGCTAATCAGGGCAGGCTTTTTTCTCAAAACACAGTTTTTCAGTTTACTTTTAGCTTTTTCTTCCAAGTTAAAACAAAAATTAACTAATTCCTTGTCAGTTTCCTTCTTGTTTTTGGTAAAATGCATCAGACAATATTTTTTGTTAACTTTTCTGACTCCTATTTCACAAAAATAAAAGTCTTGGATAGCATGTAATATTCTATATTTTCCGGGTTGTTCAGTCATAAAATCGTCTCAATTTCTTTGAGAAGGATTAATTTTTTCCTCCAAGGCTGAATAATGAGGGTCATCTTCTCCCTCAATTAAGTTCAGATAGAGTAATCACTCCACCCCTTTTTTATCCTGAATTATTTCTAAAACTCCGGAATTGTCATTCTTAATTTTCTTTTCCTCGGCTATTTTTTTTAATTTAAACAAATTAGTAAATACATCTAATAATCAAGCACTCCAAGAATAAGCATTGGCTAAAAAAGTTATTTTAGTAGGTATTTTTTGGCCGTCTTTTCCCCTTCTTCCTTTTAAACTTTTTACTAAGTCTCTAAAATCATGTTGCTCTCTTGGTAAAAATTCTTGGTCGATAGGAATGGCTTCTTCAAAAACTATTTCAGCAAAAGAGGTTCGAGCAATGGCTCCTCGAACTCTCTGATAGGAAAATAAGTCGTAAAAGTGTATTCTTAATAGTCCTTGATAAAATACTCCTTGTTCTTTGGTGTCAAACTCATTTTGGTTAACTCTGATTTCAAACTGATTAGAGTCCAAGTTCTTTTCTTGTAGGCTCGGTGGTCTCAACAGCCCGAGGGAGAACCGGCATCGGAAAATTGTCCTAAACCGCATTTTGGATGTTGATATTTAGGGGGCAGGAAGTCCGTTGAGAGCATGTGAATATGTCAATTACGCAAGCAATCGTGTTTTTGCGGACAATGACAAGCATTCTCATTGTGTTGCTTCCAACTAGTCTTTTTTTGCTTTTTGCTGCGTCAATGACAAGCAGTTTGACATTTGTGGAGTTCAGGGATGGCAACATATTTAAAGTTAGTTGGTTTTCAGAGTTGGTGAATAGTTTGGATAGCGTTAGCAAATAAATCATTTACTCCGTCTAACTCACGGCCTATTCTTTTTTTAGCAATGCGTTTTTCGGCTAAAAAGGAAGTCGTGGTGGTTGGGACCAACTGAAAAATATGTTCTTGTTGGCAATTAGGGATAGGGCAGGTTTTATCCGAGCGTCAAGGGGCGAAAGAAAATCGCATCTCCTTTTGCTGTCAATTAAAGGCAAAAGTGGAAAAATAGAGACCGCAGGCAAAATCCTCGGCCGTAAAGTTCATAATTATGCTATTTTTGAAATTTCTTAAAGAAGCGTAATAATGACTTTTAGATTTTAAGTTGGCGACTAGTTGATAAATCTCTTTTTCGCTTTGTTCGTCGTGAAAAAGAGGGGCGGGCTTTTTGCGGGGGCCTCGTTTATAAATACCTAAATTGACATTGCCAAAAGAGAGTTGAGCCTTTTTTAGGTGAGAGCCAAAGTCGGTGAGGGAGAAGTTGGCGAGTTTTCCGCTGCTAGAACTATCGCAAAACAGGTCCGTCAGGCCGTCCATATTGGAGGTTTTTTTGAGGGTTTGCAGCAAATTCGTTTATTAAATTAAAATAGATTAATGATTAATCAAACAAGTCTTAATTATCAGCCCCTAATCAAAGGTTTGCCCAGCAAAATAAAAACTTGGACGGACTTATCGGTTGCTTTTTCCCTGCTAACTGACAAAAAAATCGTTTGTTGTTTTTGCCAGCAAAAGAAAATCAGTCAAGGACAATTAATTTTTTGCTCGGAGAATTGTCGGGTTAAAGAATGAATTGAGGGACATGGTTATTCAAAAAATAAAGCCGAGGTTTTATCCAACTTTGCCTTTTTTGAAGATTTACCGAAATCTAAAAAAATGCTCCAAGATTTTCGAAGAAAAGCAAAAAACCGAAAATTAGACCGACATGAGGATAAGTTTCATATTCAAAATTATTATCGAGAGCAATTATTAAAAATGGAATTAGAAAAAAGGGATTGAAAACTAATTAATGAACCACTAAAAGAGGGAAAGAAATTTAAAGATAATTTACTGATTTTTTTTCTTAAAAAAGTGGTGGATAAAAATTTGACCTATTCTTCTTATATATATAAGACTTGTTTTTTTTTACATAACACACATGATGCACATACACCTACGATGGGACAAAAAGAGGATGAGTTGATTCCGACTAAATTGCCCATTTGGGGAGGAATAAAATTAAGAGAGCAATTTGGAGCAGCATATAACAAAAAACCTTATTTTTTGCTAAATTTTAAATCCTCAAATAGTTTTATTCACAAAGGACACAAATTGAAGCAAAAAATAAAGAAAATTTAAGCATTGAATATCTTTTTGCCTTCTTGTT